GACCACAGGCACCTGCCACAACGCCCGGCTATTTTTTGGTTGCAGCCTTCATTGTTGTTTGGCGGGCCCAGGCTGGATTCAAACCCGCCACCTAAGGTGTATGTGGCTGGCACCTTAGCTGCTTGAGCCACAGGCACTGAGTCTATAAAATTATTTTCATTGCTACTTCATAACTGTAATTTTGCTGCTGTTATGAATCATAATGTAAATATCTGATCTGCAGGAGACCCCCAAAGGGGTCGTGACCCACAGGTTGAGAACCACTGCTATAACAGTTTGCAGTATAGACCCATTTGCAAAATTCTTCTAAAATTGCTGCAACCTGAATTCTTCTCTCCCTTCACATTCTGTACTCCTATTATTTAAAGAGCAAAAAAGCCAAATCAGATATTCCTAATTTAAAAAGAAACATGTTGGCCAGGTGCAGTGGCTCAATGCCTATAATCCTTGCACTCTGGGAGCCCAAGCAGAAGGATCCTTTGGGCTTCGGAGTTTGATTGAGACCAGCCTGAGCAAAACAAGACCCCATCTCTACTAAAAATACAACAATTAGCCAGATGTGGTGGGCACCTGTAGTCCCAGCTATGTGGGAGGCTGAAGCAGGAAAATTCCTAGAACCCAGGAGTTTGAGGTTGCTCTGAGCTAGGCTGATGCCACAGCACTCTAGCCTGAGCAACAGAGCGAGACTCTTGTCTTCAAATAAATAAATAAATATTATATTTATGTATATGTATAAATAAAAATAAACATATTCCTTGTTCCTCTCTCTAGTGAGGTTTTTCTACCATTTGTTCTACTTTTTTTTTTCTTTTCAGATTTCAAAGGGAACATTGCCTTTGCTGACAGCTCATAATTTCACTATTAAAAAGAAAACAAAACCTAAACTGGTGATATGAAAACAGCTGTAGTTGACCTAATCTCTTATAAGTACCAGGGATGGTTCTGCGTTTTTGTGACCATTTACACCTTTATGGGCTGCACAATCTCTCCTGTTCCTCTTGCTCTCCTGATGGCCTTTTAGGGTATATGAAGAAGAAGTGGAAACTAATCCTGATATACATTCAGCCATGCCTTTTCTCTTTCTCTGTGTGATGCCAAATCAAATCTGCAAGCTATCAAGCTTTTGAAAAAAAGGCCTATTAGTTTTCCTTCTCTCAAAGTTAAAAGAAAAAACAATAATACAGACTCAGCACCCATAGCACAGTGATTACGACACCAGAACAACAATGACAACTGCAGCAGAAAACTAGCTGGGCATTGTGGTGAGCACCTGTAGTCCCAACTGCTTGGGAGACTAAGGCAAGAGAATTGCTTAAGCCCAAGAGTTGGAGGTTGCTGTGAGCTATGACGCCATAGCACTCTACTGAGGGCAACATAGTGAGA